TCATCCTCTCGTCCAAAAGGACGACGAATCCTGTGGGAAGCCGAATGTTTCCTCTCTTCGTTTCTCGTTTCTCTTGCGCGCGTCTCTTCTTCTGCCTCGACCAACCATCGTTTGTTCTTCTTCTTTATCTTTTTCTCCTTCTTCCACACCCTCCTTCTCGTCTCACCCCCTCTCCCTCTTCCCGGTCGACTTCGTTCGTGTTTCTTCTTCTTCTTCTTCTTCTTCTTCTTCTTCTTCTTCTTCTTCTTCTTCTTCTACTTCTTCTTTGGTCCTCCTGTTCTTCGTGCGATCAACAAAAAAGAGAGACAAAGACGGGGAGAGTCGCGCATGGCACAGGAATCTTTGCGCGTATCCCCGACGCTGCATCCTCGCACACACGAAATCCTATCCGACGAGATTTTTCGAAACTCGAAAGTTCCGACTCTTGCTCCTTTTCGCTCTTCTCTCTTTTTCCGCTAGAATTTTCGTGGACGACGATCCTGCCGCGCGTCGCGACGCGTCGTTCTCTCTCCCGCCATCTTCGTTCCCTTCGTCACGATTTCGCTACGTTCCTCTCTGCGACATCGACGCTTCGCTCGTTCGCTCGTACGAATTTTTCGCCAGCTAGAGACTCATCCCTGGAGGAACATCGTCCTTTGCGCTGACGTGTCACTCGCCATGTTGAAATCGCGGGAAATTTTAGCCAAGCCCCGCAACTTGTCTCGGAATTTTCCTTCAATTGTAGGACAGTCCTGTTAGAGTGTCAAACGATCACAGAGTGCGAAGAAACAAAGTTTTTTGAATCAGTAGAGCATCGAGCAACAAAGTATTGCAGAGAACGAAAATACAAAATTTCTTTCTCTGGTGTGTGCGAATTAATTGAATATTAATTTTTTGGAGGTTATAAAATACTCGTTTCGTCGTATTTTTAGGGCACGTCGCGCAGAAAGTCTTTTTGCTAGTTTCATCGATGTTGATTGCCTTTTTTCCCTATGTTTCATCCCCTAACATAGCTTCTTCCTCCAGTGAAACGAAAAATTCCCCTCGAGAAAGGTCAACTGATATCCTGCCCCAGTGAACGCAATTCGCCTAACTTCCTATTAACCAGTTAACCAGAGAGGACAGGTTAACTCGACGTTTGAAAACGTTTTCGTAATTTTTAGTTTAACAATCAAAGTTGGACTTATTATTATTATTATAAAGTTGGACTTATTATTACTATCGAAATCGACGCGTACTAATTTAAAACTTTCAAAGTTTTCTCCAATTATCTGCCATTCAATTTCAAAAATACACGTTAATTATTTCACGGTCGTTATTATATTTATCGCTCATCGCTCCGTCTACGTATAAAAAAATGAAAAATAAGAAAAGACATGAAACAAAAAGAGTGTTAGATTACTTACCTAGTGTCAAGGTCACTCATTGGTATCGATCGTGCACTTTTGAATACATGTCCCTTATTTTCGAACGTTCGTGATATCTGAAATGAAACGATTTAATTTAAATCACTGACTTTAGTTTCTAACACCAGCCTGCTGGCTTCTACAACGATTTCATAGCTTTGGCCACTCTCGATGGCTTAATTGTATCTCAGTTGTGACTAATACTTACTTAGTATTCACTAAGATGTATTCCTTGACTAATGTCGTTCGCGATTAGCATTTTACTATGACTAGATATTCTCGCCTTCGCTGTGTGCGAGCCAATTTTATAAGCTTCAGCTAGGCGATGATAGCCAATCACATTTAAAGAATAAGCCGGTAATTTATTCCCCTCATATGACCTGTGAAAGTCACGCGTCGATCGGGAAATCGATTGAATCCATAAAATATAAACAAATTCGTGAGTCAGTTAGCAAAGTGAAAATAGTAAACGTTCCCGACAAAGTAGCCTTTGGGGAGCGAGTTGAACTTCTTGTCAACACGAGAAATATAACATAATATAATAATATAACATAATAACATAATATAATTTCTTTATGTCGACAAGAAGTTCTGACCTTTTTTTTGTTTATTAGCAAATTCTACATACGTAGAGAACGAAATTAACACCTAAGTTTATAATATTAATTACAATATAATTATTCACAATGTTAAAACCAGTTTATAATATTAATTACAATATAATTATTTATAACATTAAAACGAGTGACGTTAACACCTACATTTGTAATATTAATTTATTAATTTACATATATAAATATTTCGTTTTCCGCCTCGTCGAATAATCAAATTTAGAATTTCTGTTACTCAATATGATTTCACTTTTTCCTTCTCTTGTATTAATATTATATAATAATTTTCTTTCCTATTTTTTCCCCCTCTTGTATTATACGATAATTTCTCTTTCTACATTTGCTTTCTCTTGTACTATTATTCTTTTATACAGGATATCTCATTTTAATCTATAAATCATCTCCGAAACTGTTCGTCATTTAAAAAATATCTTAAATGCACTTTTTTTTTTCTGTTTTGAAAGGGTGGTAATTTCTTACAATTAGGTTGTCTCTAGAAAATTAAATAATCATATTGTATGTTGTTATTACTCATATTTGTAGACTCTTTAGACGACTTATAGATTTTTTTCTTTTTTACATTATGGAACATCCGCCTGTCAGATTCTAAATAAATTAAAAGAAATAAATTAACATTGCATAAATATTTATTTAACGATATTTATCTTGCTCAAG